TTAATAGTGTAAATTTATTGAATATAAAGATATTCATGAACACTAGTGTAGCTTCTTCATGTAGCAATAAAATGTTTCCTATCGAGTTATTATGTAGAAAAGTTGTACAGCCACATCCAAGAGGTAGAGTATAACATATTAAAATTAAAAAATACATAATCAAAATATAAAATCTACTTACTTGTATGTTTATATATATAATCAGAACAAGAACACTATTAATAGCAAAATATATAAACATTTTCAAATAGTGGATTATCAAAAGCAGGACATAAAAGTTCATCATATGACTTTACGAAATGTTGAGGTACTAATTAACTATAACCTCCTAAATATTGACAAATGCAATACAAGCTCACTCTATGGCTTTACAAAAAATAATATTGAGGCACTATCTACATTTCCAAAATATTAACAAAAGAAAGACTTAAAATACATACTACTACACATTTATATAAATGAAGTAGTATGTAGTTTTACATAGCCCATGGTCCTACAAAGCAATCCATATAGAAGTCCTATAGAGCTAAATATATAAAGGTCCTACACATTATTCAAGAAGGCTACGCACCCAAGCAGTCATCTCGTCTTCAAGAATTAGTGTGAAAGCAACCACTAGTGATGGAGACTCAGTAATTTTCATATGAGCCTTGTTTATCCCACCCCATGTGGTCCTTGTACTCTTATAAGTTGCTTATATATTTCCTCTACTCTGTCTAAATCAATAGGACCAATCCTTCTTGACTCTTTCACATTTCAGCAAATTCCTTACATAAATTCTTTAAGAATTTCATCATTGAGTGGTCTATATGAGAAGATGAATCCTTTATAGCTTCAGCAAGGACCTCTATAATATCATGACTGCTCCTTCGCTTTCATTTTTTAGATGACTGGACCTCAGTTGACTGCGCAGGTTGTTGCTCAGATGCATTAACATTTGTATTTGTGTTAATTCCTTGTTCAACATTGATCTTATATCAATTCTATAATCCTCTTCATCATCTTCAGCAAGAGATGAAGGCATCGAGGTAGTCATTCCAATTGCACACAATCCTTACCCCATGTATATGTTAGATCTTTAAAGTGAGGTAAGCATTTATTCTTAAAATTTTCAGCTTGCTTCTTAACCTGAAAATGAAGAATAAATGGTTCTATATATATACATATATTAAATAAAATAAAATAAAAATAATACTAGAACATATAAAATCTAACTTTATATAACAGTGACTCTATCACCTTCACATATTTAGCCCATACATGATCTTCAGCTGTCACACACTTCTTTTCAGTATCCCACTAAAGCCAGAAGTGTTTTTATTATTCACCATATTATATACAACTTGCCATGACTTCTTAAATGTTTTTTAACCTTGAAGCAATATGAGGGTTAGCAAGCAATCCATAACCTAGAGCCTTTGCCTCCAGCATCTCCTCTAGCCTATTCAAATATCCCGTACTAAATCCTATATTCGCAACAAACTTCCTATCAATTTTAATTGGGCCAAGCATTCAACAAGCATGCTGTCTCTTGAACTGTCCAAACATGCTTGTTACCCTTACTAATATCTTCTAGTGTTTCCATTCTATGTAATAAAAAGTGAGAAAAGAGTAATAAGAGTCTAAAAGATCCCAACTCATAAAAGATTTTAATATATAAAATATAAAATCATGCAAATGTACTGGACATACTAATACAAATAAATTAAAATCATATTAGCTAAAACATTAAAAGTCATTTCATTGAACAATTCATACTAGCCAAAGGCTTTATCTATTAATCCTACGAGCTATAAATGTATTAAACATTTCATTAGCCATGTTTCCCGAAAAGCACTCCAAACATTTGATAGTTCCATGGTTGAGATGGGATTGATGTCTATTTGGGGATTCAGTGAGTCAATTGCATCAAAATTCAGCCTCAATAAGGTCGTCTACATTGTCTCGCATAATGAGATTATGCAAGAGGCAATAAGCAAGTATATATCGATTTTGAGTTCGAATGGGATAATATGAAGGACTCCTTAATATTGCCCAACGCATCTTCAGATCCCAAATGCCCTTTCAATGACATTCCTGGCAGATGAATGTCGCATATTAAAACACTCTTGTGGAGATTCAGGATGTCTTCCATCACGTCAATCGCTTAAGTGATAACCGTTGTCCTCTGTATGGGGCAAGAAAGCTTTCATAATTTGTATACCCTGCATCAATACTGCGATAATAATTTCCCTTTGCCAAATTTAGCACCAGTATTAACGGCTCGTATGAGGAATAAATGTTTATTCTAATACTCTTATATTGTTGAAAATATATTAAATTCTCTTTAGAAGCACACATAACTGTTGTATCTATCTAAATTGCATTACTGGGACTGAGCTCATTATGTGGTTCCAATCCAGGAGAAAGCCACGATAACATTAGAGAGTGACTTATGGTATAAACATGTCTCTTTTATTTTAATTTACGTTTATATGTGTTATCTTCCAATATTAGGGCTTTTTGTTATTGTAATTATAAAATTATAAAATGAACATGTTTTCAAACTATTTGTACAATTTGGATTGACTTATCTTAAATAATTTTAATATTTGGTTTACTTTGAATTTGTTATAATGGCATGATTATAATGCAAATAACTAGCTTGTATTGAAAATTTATTAAATTGCTTATTTTACTTGTTGGGAGTATAAGGATGGACAAATGTGATTTAGCCTAATGGCATGTGGGAGGTAAAAATTTATCTATAATGCTATAGTTGTGAATTGAAGCCAATTATAAAATATTTTATATTGAAATTATTGATATAAAAATGTGTTGGTGTCTAGTGCTATATATAGCCACACTAAACATTATGTCAACAAGCATTTTTACGAACATTCATGCATAATCATAAAGCAGCCCAACATTGTATGAAGGATGAATTGCTGTTGGTCTTCATTCCATAATTGTGCCCAACCAAAACAAGCTTATAGCATCCACTGCAATTTTATAATGATTCAAAATAAAACACCCACTACAATATTATAATAATTTCACAATAGTATAAAGCACCAACTAAAATATTATAATAATATTATAATATTATATGCACCCACTTTTTTGTAGATCAAAAGAGTTGATCGCAGCAAACTGACGTGAAGAACCATATGAAGTGAATAAAGAATGACTTGATGAATAGCTATAGTTGTTGTCAGCATATTACTGTGCAGTAGGAATTGATGGCAACAAACTATTGTGTAGAGTAAATCAGATAAAGATTTGCAAGCAACTTTTGTTCAATTCGGCATTAGCATATTAAGTAGAGAAAATCAAATAAAGCAGATTTTGCACATATGAAGTAGAAAAATCAAAGCTGACCATGAGGATAGATTGTATTAAATAGAGAACACTCACCCACAAGCAAATTTGGCAAGCGTGATTCTCTCCAAAAAATTTTGCACATAGGGTTTCTTTTTCTGTGCGATTCTTCATATATTTGGAGAAAAAAAAGATAATCTAGTCATAATAAAAATTATAAGGGCAATAATGTCTTTTAAAACCCATTACAAGAGGCCCGCATCCCCTTTCACTGGGTCTTACTATGTAATCCCATTGCAGTCATTTAAGGAATGTTGTTTACATCTTGCAATTCTGTTTACATTAATGAGTGCCAACCAATCGCTATGAATTCATGAAATTATCAATCTCAACATTCTCGGGTTTCCATTCCCATTCATTCATGTCAGTTGAATGTAGGTTTCTGTGATAGACCTGGAATTTTGGTTCTTGTCTGTTCTTAAATGAAAGCATACAGAGACGATGATAGCTCATTTCCTAGTTGTTTCCCGTCTCATATCCTCCGTCATTGTATCCCAGAATTCGAGGTCATTAGAAACGTATCAGTGAGAGGCCTTGGTCAAGTTAAACGATATTAGTGAACGAATAATTTTTATTTTTTATTTTTTTTGCCAGAAGGGAACGAATACATTTCAGCTAGCAAATTTCAAATAGAACAATCCTTGTTTCTAATTACTAATAACTCTTTTTCTTTTTTGGTCCAATGAACTACTAATAACCTGGAACAGTCGAAAGTTCGAAACACAGATCATATGCGTGCTGTAATTGATTTTTATGAATAAGTAATCAGATTTCAACATTTTTGTATTTCATATTTTTATTATTAAGCTGTAAACTTGTAATCGCGTATTTCATACAATTGTCAATATTACTATTCAATTTTGACCCTGGAACTGGCCCGAAAGAAAATACTTTCGAAAAAAAAATCTAATTTGGTTAATCTCTCTCTCTCTTTTTTTCAGTGAGTCACACATACATGTACATATATCCTAACGCCTGCATTGAACGACATTAAGTATAGGTTTAAACGTTAAACAGGTGACCTCCTTCACAACGAGGAAAGGTTTTGTGTTGTTAGATTCAAAGATTTTTAGCTTTCGTTTCGTCACTTGTCTTAAAAAATAAAAAGAAGAAGAAGAAGGAAAGAAAGAAAATAATCCTTGATGTTGGTCGGCGACCCCGAAAAACACTATTATTACTGCCAAAAAGTGGCGCACCCTTTGTTTAATTGAAAATCCTAGTTATGAACAATACATCTGTTTAATTGTATAGTATCTAGAGTCAGTAATTTGAATATTGTCTATATTTTTTAAGTATTTCAAAAATTATATTTTTTATAATAACAATAGTAATTAAGAAAAATTGAAATTGGCTTAAAAACAAAATAAAAAGGGATAACAATCCGGATACTCTATTAGCTTGAATTTGAATAAGCGTGAAAGCTTGAGTGATTTTAGGATCAGACTTAATTGTACCATTTTTTGTATGTTCAAGTTTATTTGAGCCAATTCAAATAACTCTGACTTGGTTGAATTACAGATTCTAATAATATCAATATTGATATATAAAAATTTGAAAAAAGAAACATAATGTTGATGGTTTTTGGGTAGTACGATGGGCCTCAGGCTACTTGGACATATATGGTATGGGTATTGGGTGGCTGGAACCGCCCACTAATTTCCGCTCAGGAAATGAATCAAAATTCCCAAATCCGAAGACAGAGGCACTAGGGTTAGGGTTTTACTTTGAAGCCTTCGATCGATCAATCGATTTCATCCTCAGTCTCTAGAATCTTGTTGCTTGAAACCATGGCAACGCCTGCTACAGCAAAGAGAAAGCCAGTGTTCATCAAGGTGGACCAGCTAAAACCCGGCACAAATGGCCACACGTTGACCGTGAAGGTAATCAGCTCTAATCCAGTGAAGACTGTCAACAACAAAGGTAGTCGATCGTCAATAGTCCTTGGTCGGCCCGTTCGTCCCACTCTCATCGCTGAGTGTCTTGTAGGTGATGAGACTGGCACCATCATTTTCACAGCTCGTAACGAACAGGGTATGTTAACGTGTTAAAGTTTGATTATCATTGAATTATTCTCATGAGTTCAGTTCGATTCGTTTGAAAGGTTACATCAAGATTTAGGAGTGTTTTAATTGCCTGGATTATGATTACTCGCTAAAACCTACTAGATATGCCCTGAGAAATGCTCAAGACTGGGCCGTCGTATTTTTACTCCGCCCAACAGAATCACCAGTGTTGTGTCGTTTTATTCTTTTCATGCCTGTGTGTCATTTTTCTGCATTTTACACTGTTCATTAAGTTATTGTAGTCGCAGGAAGCATCATGTTGTAGTAATGTTTAGTCGTCTTTGCCAATGATGGAAATTGGAACTTGTGCTGCAATTAGCGTTTTTCCGAGTTAAAAAAAAAAAAAAGAACATGGGTGGAATCATGCATTATTAGCCTCTGTTGTTAAGATATAATATTCGGGGAGTCTTTCGAGATCTCAGTCTCAGATATGTCAGTTGTGTAATCCTGCGATCTCTGGAACAAATAGTTTCATTGATAGCTCGTATTTCTTCGTATACTCTTTGCTAAATGCAAACTTTTCTACTTTCGTTAGAAAATATGGTATATGTTCAATCTACATGTTGCAGAATGATCATTAACTCGTGACTTTCGTACAGTGGATATTATGAAGCCAGGCTCCACCTTGATTTTGCGAAACGCAAAGATTGACATGTTCAAGGGATCTATGAGGCTTGCGGTTGATAAATGGGGGCGTGTTGAAGTAACTGAGCCTGCAAAATTTGAGGTTAAAGAGGATAACAATCTGTCTTTGGTTGAATATGAATTAGTGAATGTTGTTGAGGAGTGACTTTAGGGTCTGGAAGCGAATGCTTTGTAGTAAGGAGAGTTTCTATCTTTTTTACGTGACATTGAACAATTAACTGCAGCCTGCTGTGCAGAGCAGTATTCATGTGGTACAGCCTTGATTGATTTAGTCTAAAAAGTTGCTGTACTAAAATCAAAATTTTTATCGAAGGGTGCAAATACAGTTTTGATTAGTCATGGTGCCTGTGTTTAACATCCTCGATTGAGTTGGTCTAAGAGGCTAATGTTACCATGCAAAATGAAAGATTTTTTAACCCTGCAGATTCATTGACATTTTAATTTGAGGGCACATTCCATGTGATTTACGAGAGATTGATGACAGATTTCATCCTATATATAACTGTGAACCCATAGTGGCGGAGTCCAATAATAGCAGGTACGTTGTTGCGTCATTGGCTTGCATCCTCACTCTTTGAGAGGTAAATCAATGCATTCTTATCGGTTGACAACAGAGCTCTTTATTATGAGGCAATGGCCAATTTCCATAGTTAGTTCAGTTTTTACGCATTTTGTGAAATTTGGGAGGAATAAGGAATAAAAGCAGGGAAGGATGACCATTTATAAGAACATGTAAATCTCGTACAAAAGTGAGAAACTAAGAAAACCAGCATGAGACTTTGGTTAATCCCGAGGTCCACTGGGGGCGAACCAAGTTGTAAACCCAACGTCAGGCAATTTTTGAAATGAAGGTGCCGAAAGCATAGTTCTCCAACTCCGGGCCAGAGTTGCGTTTAGGGAAGGTCACAGATCTGAATAAACAAAACACTAGATTAGATTTTCAAAGAGGCGTGAGGCAGAGGCAAAACCTGAAGTTAAAGAGTTCAAATATACAAAGCTCAGAACCATCCCACTTTGAGAAAGGAAATCAAGCAAATCAGGTTAGACTTAGAAGGCAGAACCCATCGCTGACCCCTTTATAGAGGAAGATAACATGTCATAAATAACCAAATGACGAAGTTAACAAATAGTGCCGACCAAGCAAAAAAGATCTCGTGAAGAAATGCCTTCAACCTCAACCATAAGTCTACATCGCCGACTTATTGAATCGAAGTAATTGATGAAAAGAAAGCATTTCAGGCATGAATCTCGTATCAGTAACAAGGGTTGACTGTCAAATAGGCATTTCACTAGTAAATGTTATTCCTACTTCGGCCGGCACCATATTTCTCACCTCTGCAATTCAAAGATTTCATTTTCACTACATACTTCTCAAATATGACATTCATTAAAAATCTTTGCCTGATTCAACGAGAATTCAGGATAAGTTAAAAAGAAACTTAATAAATATTCAATACTTTGCAACACATTTTTCCTCTTATTCAGTTATTTGCCCAAGTTCTAAACTCTGAGCGCCATGGACGGCATGGATAAAAGTAGCAACATTTATGCATCAGAAATAGAGAAAAATACAACTGGTGTAAGCGTCAAGTATCATAGTCCAATTTACTCATCTTGCCCCTCCAATGGCTCAGTCAAAACTCCTAATTTTTCAGCGGTGACGGTTTCAAAACTCTGATTTGTACATAATAGATTGCTTGAATCTTCTGAACACTTATCACACATCATCATTGCAATCTGATTAAACAAAATTCATCAGTATAACCTTTCGTTATCTATTGCCCTCAGCATGCAAGAAAATCAAGGAAACGGCATGGATTTGAATCAAAAGAGTAATTATGAAATGTTTTGACCAACAGCACAATCACGCTACACAGAAGTGTGGCTTGAATATTTAATGTATAAAGAACGTTCCACTGACAATAATGAACATGGCACAAACCAATGAATCATTTCATATATACATTACAGAAGTGGCGATTCTATCTTGCTGTTCCATCAGACATTCCCACATATATTGACAAATTTTTCACATGATGTCAGCCGCTCTTCAGTTAAAATGTAGCCATTTTATTTTTCATAATTCCTCACATTTGTACTCTACAAGCGTAAATACTTTTGAACAATATAACTGAAACATAGAGAGATTATTATATTCTATCGCGCAATATAAGCTAGGAATATAATGCATCCATTCAAGCTGCCAAATCAGTAAAAATTTGGAGAGCACATAAATTGCTCTAAATAATTTTTAAGCCGTGGTTATAGGTATCTAGCAATTCTTCCTAATGATCTAGAAAAATTTGTTTAAAACCCAACACTCCAAAGAAGTCCATATCATCCATCTTTGCTTCTTGATCTTCATCTAGTCTTCTGTAGGCCTACAAACAAAAGGAGGAGTGTGTGTGGCTTTACTAAAAGCTTTAGATGCAGGAGCCGGGAATACTTAAGATATAGTCCATCAAATTGATGCAGCGGATTAAGTAATATCATAAACATGTGTTCAAGAATCAATATGCAAAAGGCCTCCTTCATTATGTATATCAATAGCATTTATATCATTTCTCGCCAGACTCTGGTAAGTTTAACCCAAGGATTGAAAGAAACACTAACCTGAAGTTTAAATTGAAGAAAGAACATCAAGGAATCCTACAGATGTTTAGCTACCTAATTCAAAAGTAAAATCCAATCATCAGGCAACCTACTAGGAGAACTACCATCTTCAGTGCACGTGAGCAAAATATGCCTGCAATACTAAAAACTTTTGCTCCAGTAATCCTAGCAGCCCAATGAAAAAGAATAAACAAGCTTATCTTGTCAAAGCAATCATACAATTAAAATTGACTAAGACTAGTGACCCAAATAGTCGAACAGTGGGGCCACATTACATAATCTCTTTGCTCCAAATTTTATATTGAGTTGAAGAGTAGGGGGATCTTAATTTTAATTCTTGATCCAGAAAATCATCTTCTCGATTAAGTCTCCATAGAGTTCCAACCATCATGGGCATCCATACTAAATCTACACCAAAATGGGAACAAAAATATGTTTTGCAAGTCATCCATCGAAGACTGCAGTCTGCAGACTCTTATTGTTACTTTAAAGCACAAAATATTAAAAAAGAGAAGTCAGTGGATTAAGCTTCAAGTTAGAAGCATGCTTCATTTTAAGGAGCGACAATTTCCTATCAACCTTCCCTTCCCCACCCATTATGAAAATGAATATATATAAGTTGGCCAAGATAATCTAGAATGAATATCAAACCATTGACATTGAATCTCTAGCAGTAAATGAAATACCGCACCTCAGTCGCTTAGATGATAAACATTAATATATATATATATATATATATATTATAAAATTAGAATCCCTAATGCCTGTTCCAAACTTTACAAACCAGGTTGTGTGGTTTTTACATTGTTTTCCTTTTTTTCATGTCAACTTTTCCTATTTTAAAATTATTAAAAAAAATTGGAAATCACTTGCAAATGCAAGAAGGTTACTCTAGCTCTTAATAAAAATCGAAATAAGTAAAGGATGATGTTATCAACTCAATAAGTCAAGCTAATCACGACCACATTAACTACCTTTCACATTTTAACCTCATGAACGAAATAATCACTCACAAAGGAACACAATCATTGATATCAACGGTATGGAATTTACCTTCAGGAAGCCACCCACAACTGCGGCGAGAGATGGAGAGCATTGAAGTCATCAGTGCAGAAGCAGTTACCGTATGATATGGCAGCATGGATTCCGCACAGAAACTCAATTCAACAGGACACCTAATTTAAGTAAATATAAGAACTTCCATCCATAAATTTGTCATGCAAAACGCTCTAGGCATTATAGTGTGAGAAAGACGCATAAACCATTCAGTTTTAAAGACCCGACCCTTACTATCATTAAGAAGATTCAAACGTCAAGGTAATAATCTACCACCCTGTTGCAAGGATTCAAAGTACATTTTATTTTTCTAAAGAAAAACATGGGGAGAAAAATCCAAAGGCTTCAATTTTTAATTTTTATGTGGCTTGCATTTTCTCCTAGACCAGAAAATAGTAGCAATGTTATGCAGGTTACCTGACCGTGGAATGGGATAGAGGTTTTCGGGAGGGGAGGCGGAATGGAGAACGAGTCGCTCTCGCTTCCGACGCAATACGAAAAGCGGAGGAGCGAGACGAGTAAGAACGGAAGAATGACCTAACGGCAGCAGAGGAGGCCATTTTGTGATCGGAAAGGATAGCTGATGCTTTGCTTCAGGAATGGCTAGGGTTTTTGGGGTAATGTTCCGCCGCGTAGGAAGCTAAAACCCTGCGTGAGTGTTTGGCTACAGGGCTTAGGAATTCCTGGCCCGGAAAAGATTACCACCGGGTCTATTTCGGTTCGGGTCGGACTATGCGGAAAGATCCAGAAGTCGTTTTCAAGCCCGCCATCTTCGGTGTCCGTGTCCCAAACGCCTCTCTGAGCTTCAATGGTTGTACGGCTCCATTTCTGCCTCCTCGTACTCCTCCCCCCTGTTTGTTCTTGTTTTCATACATTGTCTCAGCTGTGTTTTTGAGGAAAAAGGGGCTTCGGTATTCAAGGTACACCAATCTTTTCATTTGTTCCCCAAAAATATTCAATGCTTCTTGTTTTACCAGTTTCAAGTCCTTCTCGTACTGATTCGTTTTCCTAATTTCAATTTTTGAATAAGATTGGAATAACTGATAATCTCAGTTCCAAATGTTGGAGTTCATCTATCGCATAATATTCGCACTGCTGAGGGCGGAGAAACTTAAAAGAGGGCTTTGAGGATCCTGAGGAACAGAGAAGTCCTCTAAAATAGTTATTGAAATGCCAATCCACAATCTATCTGTCTCTTAATCAATTCAATGTTTCTTCAACTAGATCAAGGCATATAGTAGAAATGTGACTAAAATAGCGTCAAATGATCAAGCAAAATAACATTAACCTCATACACGAGACCATTCATCTGCAGGATGGGATCAAGACTCAGAGCTGGTTGCCATTCCGGCTGCCGCTTCAATGTTAAATCCTCATATATGACTGCAAAGATGTTTCGAACATATCAAACATCATCTCAAAGTTGAACGTAGATTCTATTTCAGAACAGGAAAAGGTGGACCTATCCTTTTGACTCTCCAGATATTCTTGTTGGCGCCTGAGGTAAAATTTAAGATGGGGCGCCATTGTCAGCACAGGGCAAAAGTAAATCTTGGATGAGAAGTGATTAAAATTTAGAAGAGAAACACCGAAGCAGGAAACAGTTAAGAAACAAAGAAATGGAGGTCGTGCTGCAAAACATCAAAATGGAGGGGAGTATACTATTTTTATATTAATTTATTTGGTTTTGTTAAATGGAAGAAGAAGAGTGATCTTTTTAATAATTTTTTGTTTAGTTCAAAAATATAGAGAAAGAGAGATAATAATTAATTTATTATTATATTTACATATAATTTTTTTTTATACTTTCTCTCATGTAAATCTATTTTATATCCAAACACAAATTACATCATTTTTAAAAAATTACTTTAATCTTAACATATTGTTTATACATGTTTTTATTTAAAAAATTGCGAACTACTTTAATCTTAATATATTTTTTATATATGCATTAAAAAATTGATGCATGTTTTTATTTAAAAAATGTTCAACTTGGGTATGGCCTGACTGCCACCGTGCTGTTTGTCTATCGGCTTCATACCCAACTCAAAATTCATATTTGCCATCATTGTATTAGAGCAACATATAACCAATGGGCAATTTAAAACCCTGGCAAGTGAAATCTAAGATCTAGTGATAGAGAAAATAAAGAGTGAGGGTGTGGCTTACTGTGGGAAAAGGAGGAGGAGAAATGGAAGTAATGAAGGAAGGAGGGATAAGAGAACGATGAAGGAGGCAATGTACTTTTTAAAAAAAAAAAAAAAATAGTCATGGAATATGGCAAAATTAATGCCAGTAGATTAGCCAACAAATTTGGCTTCCTTCCCAAAAAACCTCTCCTTTCCTTCCCTCCAAAACTCCCAACCAAACATGCCGTTAATAACAAATACAGGAGCTCAATTTCAAATTGTTAAAAGGCTGATGGACGTATGTGGAGTTTGTTTGCTGCCCACAATGTCTTTTATTTATTTATCTTTGGAATTTTAAAAAAAGAAAGAAAACAAAATTTGGTAATAAAAGAAAGAAGGAAATTGTATTAGCACCCCACGAACACATTTTCCTGGACTTCACATGGGCGTGGCTCAAATTCAGGAACGCGTTTACAATAGGCCTCATTTAATGAATGGGCCCTCCTACGTGAGTTAAGTCTGGGCTTGTCAGTTTTTTATTTCATAAAAAAATAAAACGTAAATTAGGCTCAACTGTTGCAAAAGGAGAATAATTGTTTTTCCCCTGAATGTAAGAAATTTGATCAACATGAATTCACAACCATCCCATGCGTGTTTAGAATCCGTTTAATAACTGAAAAATAATGAGAATGGAATGGATTAAAGAGATACGAATAAAAATAAACTGGATTAAGTAGGTAAGAATATAAATAAACTAATAAGTTACTTTCTTTCTCATAACAAATATAATAAAACTCAATATCACAGATCACATATGTGAGAATCACTATAAATTACACTCTTGACAAACCTCATAAATCATGCAATTATATTCCAACTTCATGAATTAAATTTTTCTCCCTTCATCATGAACATGGTTAACCCATCTCTCATCCATATTTAGATAATTTTTATTTTTATTTGTAGTTTTTAAATCTGTTTCATTTCCTTCCTTTCCTGTAACCAATAATTCACCCCTTATTGTCTGCATATACAAAGGTAAATAAACTAATAAAGGGATCTTTGAAGAGCTTCTCGGCTTTAATCCTTTAATGAGGGGACTTGGAATTCCATTATTGGGATTTTCAGGAGAATTATGCAAAACTGACTCACAAGTATATTTGATAACTAACTGAGTTCATAAAATTTATTTTGGCCGAAGATTATACATATATCTTTTCTTTTATTTTCGTGTGAATATAGATGTTTCAATTCCTGAGCTACATATTATATTGTTGAAGGATTTCTGTGAAGAACGCATAAAAATATAATCCTAATAAGGCCCAATACTACTTGTCATGTTCAGCAGAGCCTAGAAATTAAACTTGCAATATGCACCAATAATGACATATAGTTATTGGAAAATTAAAGAACACATCAAAGGTCTCTCACATTTTTTTTTTTTAATGTATGCATGACTTGTCCGCCACGGTTATAATCAAAATAATTAAGCGTTTGTTCAAGAGGCATTTATCTCTGGCTTTGCCTACTGCTTCTTACACCGATCCTTTCATGGGGTACGTTGTATATTTGAATGCTTGTTTGTCTCGTATAGTACTCCTTCTGTCTCAAATTATAAAATATTTTTGAATAAAATCTCATATATCAATAAACCTCATTAAATACACTTAACAATTTTATCTTTTTAAAATAAAAATATAAACTTTCAAAAATATTCATCATTTAATATATTGAAAAGAAAAAGGACATCACAAATTAATTATAAATAGAAAAAAGGGTAATATTAAAATTGATGCATTTAATAAAACTTTAATTTACTTAAAGTATCTTATATTTTGGGGTGAAGAAACTTTTTTAAAAATATCATATAATTTAAAACGGAAGAAGTAATAAGTTCACCTTTAGCACTTACGTCCCCCCATCATACTCATGTTCATGATTCTTTGACATCATACAATTAATTCATTTTTTATTTTGCTTAACTTAATTATGTTTCGTCAAATAGGATATTATATTGATTTGGTTCCATGCACATAGACATGGGGGCATATGAAAACTAAGATATCTCAAGTCTCTAAAGTTTTTTTAAACATTTTTTTGAAGTGCTTTTATTGCCTGATCTATCTCTCTCTGAAATAAACTACGACTAACACAAAAATTATTGCTTAATTATCATCACAAATACACAAAAAGGCTAATGAAGAAGAGAACTTTGAAGAAAGAGAGAATCCTCAAAAGTAACTCTCTGAAGCAAATGAGAAGTCGTCGAATTAGGGTTTTGTGGTGGGGCCTTCACACCACAGCTAGTTAGCATGCTCAGCAACAACCCAGCAGGAAGGGGAAAAACCTCTGAGGTAGAGGACATTACTGTTGAAGAGGTCAAGCACAGGAGGGTGGAATTTTTGGAATTCCTTGTCTCTGCAATTCACCCATCACACTGTCAAGCGCTGGAGCTTTAAGCCCAAGAGGAAGTGGCAGCCACGGCTTTGATAAAACATCTCCAATAGCTGCATCTACGCTCTCCTTTGACTGCACACACACGACACGGTATTTCATTCCCCGTGATATAATATATGATTTTGCACACTAAACTGTGTTTTACGTTCAAGCTATAGATTTCTTTCTTAAAAAAAAAAATTGTTTGTTTCATGAGTTAACTGCTCCAACAAGTTTCTGTTACTATTGTGGCTAAATAAGGTATATATGGGAATATGTATAAGGTAAGACAATTTTGCAAGGAAAAAGCTGGAGAAGAGAAACATTGAAAACAAATGCAGAATTACTGGTTTGTTTCTTGTGTTTAGTGGGTAAATCAAACGAAAAAATTGTATAGACGTCGGGTACAAACATGTTTGCTTATTGAGGGAGGAAAGATATTTATCACATGTATGAAACATTACATACCAGTAGGTACAGCTTTATGAGAGACAAGGACATAAAGCTAACGCAATTTTTTTCTGCTATATGGTAGTAAGGTTCAGACTTATGAGATTATATCGACACCTACTTTAATGTTATCACATAAGTTATATGCATTCGGGTGGCAAAATCCAATTATATGAGAATGTACAAGGAGAGAGAAAAAACTCACAGGATGAAAATCAATGAGTGGGCGAGGAGCGGGTTGGCCGGTGGGGACGGCGATGCCAGGATCTACCTTGTACATTACAAGGGGTGGGATACCCGGGACAGGTGGAGAGGGAAATCTCTGCACATACACGGAATTTCTTAATTTGCCATCCTTCCTCTATATATGGCGTGCGAGGCAAGTACGTATTGCTACATATTTTTGAGTAAACATGCTGACAACATTTGTGTGTTTCATCTATATGGTGATTATAATTTGTGAAGGGATAAAAATGAAAAGAAAAGGAAGAAGACAGCCAGAGTGGCTCCAAAAGAGTCAGGAATTAGTAGTCACGTACCGCCGTAGTCAGAGGCTGTGGAAAGCAAGGTGTTCCCGGCGTTAGTGCATTGGTAGCCTGAAATAGTAAACATGAATATATATATATATATATATATTGCCTATAGCCTATTTAGACCCGGAAACTTAATTATATGTGTCCATCGGATTTCAAAATCTAGCTATACGCTTTGTTCTTTTCTGAAATTTCGCACACAAGCCAATTATTTTACTAGTTGCCTTCTTTCAATCAAGCCACCATAAGTGAATCTTGGTATATGTCAAGCAATTTTAGTTTATTAATTTTATTGAAAACTTTAACGTGATCTCAAATTTTTTTTAAAAAAAATTATAGCATGGACAAAAATTTAAAACTGTCAAATTAATCTCCTAATATCTATAACGAGATGGCGTCTATTATGGCTTGAACTTGCCAAATAACTAACGTCTTGCCCCCCTTAATTATTTCATAACCTTTTGTTCTCAAATTTATAAGCTATAGATTTCAATATAAGATTTTCATTCACATGCGAAAAGATAAACCTAAATTTTTGAATAAGGATAAGAGATTAAATACTTAGTGATTAAATTAACAAATTGAAGTTAAAGAATCGGGGTACAAAGTACTAACCGGTTGGTGCCAGTAGGAAGGATCAGGAGGCGGAGGGGCGGGCGAAGCCCAAGCGAGGGGGGGCGGCGGCGAGGGGGAGTGAGGAGGGAGATGCTTAGGCCACAAGGGCATGAAGGAGTGGTCCATGGTGGGATGGCCCCACACATGTAAGGCTCCGAAATGCTGCATTGGCGGCGGCGGCGTCACCGGAGGAAAACCCATGGTCGGTGCTACTGCCAGCCAAGGGCTTCCCTCCCTCTTGCCTCCTCCTCCTCCTCCTCCTATACCGTAACACTGTCTTCTTTTATTCCAGTTCGCTGCTTCTGCTTCACGTGCCAACAGATGTTTCCTGTGGGATCGATATTTCTGCGAAACAAATCTCCACCTCTTAGACTTCTCTCCTTAATTATACCTTCAATTTTATACATACTGGTGTTTATACATTTTAATTATTCCTGTTTTTTTCCCTAAATCTACCCAAAGCAACCAAACAAATTTGCGTATGTTTTAGCAGTAAATTCAAGCTTCCCGTATGAAAATTAAAGAAGTTATGGATGTTTTTTTGGTAGCTTAAATTGAAAAAAAATAATGTTATCATAAGATATTATAAAAAAGCGTCCTTTTTTGGAAGATGCACGCAAGATGAAACCCCAAAAGGGGAAGAAGAAGGGTACGTACTTGAAGATGGCTGGCTATGTTATGGCGAGTGAGACAATCTATTCCCATAATCTCCAAAATTCTCGAAGGCACCGCCTTATCCACTCCTAGTTGCTCCACTGCTTGCACGAATCGCCTGTGCAATTCTGGGGTCCAATCCACCTTTACATCACCCAAGAACAACAAAAAAATTAATTAATTAATTCATAATACGATGATGAAGATTGAAGGAGAAGAAGCGTAATAAATAATAATAGTAATAATAATAAGTCCGTGTTTCTATCTCTTCTCTGCTTATGGCACCCGTGATCTCTTTTGAAACCCAGGCACTTTGTAAAAGCACAATCATTATTAATGAATGAGACAGAGACAGGAGCTTCAGGACTAGCTCAGCTAGCACACGAGCTTCGTCGAAACCTAAGAAAGCGGTTAGGGAGTTACATAGGTTAATTAATTAATTACCTTCACTTTTCTCTTCCCTCGAGAATTCTTCGACTCGGCTGATGATTTTCTTCCCTTATCAACTTCACTCTGCGACGGCTTAACCGCCACGGATTCATCCCTTCGGCTCACTATCTCATCTCCGGAGTTCGACCCCGAACCGGAGCCCGAATCCGAGGACACTTTATCTTCCTCTTCTTTCTTTGTCGACGTAGCTATATTCTGGTCAACTTTAAAGTTTTCCACCGAGAGCGATGACGTGGCCATCTCCGAGTCCTCGCCGGTGCTGAGGGAAAAGTCGGCGAAGATCTCGGGGTCCATCTCCAAATCCGGCAAGACATCTCCGTCGTTGATACCGACAAATATATCGTCGAAGCTGATGCTTTCCAATAAATTCCCATCGGAGAGGTCACCGAACACGTGGGACTCCATCGAGAGCCTCTCCATCTCTCCCTGCCCCTCTTCATCTTTCGTGCTTCCAAGAGGTGACACAGAGAGCATCAATAATCCCAGATTCCCACCTCTAACTAGCAAAACAAATCTCAATCTTCTAACTTACAATTAATTAATTAATTAATAATAAAGCACTCCTCTCAAAATACTCTAAAAAACCCACACATGCTCGCTCAAGAAGTGCAATTTGAATTGAATGAATCTAATGGGATAGGCAAGAGAGAGTAGTATGCGTGGAAGAAACTAATGAAGAGCTCTGGTTGAGAACCACAACTTGGAAGAGTTTTATAGACTCGAGAGAGATTTGCTTTATGTTTTTGTTTGGGAGCGTACTAGTTGCAGTGTGCGTGTGTTGGTGTGCATGTATAAATTATGGGTTTGTGGATGGTCTTTTTTTCGCAAAAGAGTTTTTATTTTTTTGTTGGAAAATTCTGAAAGTGATGGTTTTAATTATTGATACACTATAATTAATAAAGGGATATTAATAACTGAATATATGTCTGAAGCAGCCAGCAATAGTACTGTGAAAACGAAAGGGACGTGTGCCTTACTGTTACTGAGGTTGATGATCAAATAATTGACCGCTGTATTTTTGTGGCTCACTGATGAAGTTTATCCATTCCCGGTCTTATCTTTGTTAATGCTTCCAAATGCTGATGTTGGTAAAACCTATGTTGTCTATTAAATTAATAGTTGCAAGAATTTTGTTATAATCAAAATAAAAAAAAACACTGAATTTAATCCATTCAAATCTCCTAAATATTATTATGTAATAAATATCTAGCTCATTTTTTTGCTTAAAATTTAGAATTTTTTTAAACAGTCTAAAATTTTCATGCTTCTTTTGTACTGTTAAATTTCTTGCCTATTGTTAGTATAAAATCTTTCTCTATTTTCTATGACATTGAGCAACGTAGGAAAAAAATAATATAATAATATAAATTCATTCATGAATAATATACAATACAAACTCATATATCATAATATCAAAATTGTAACACACCAAATTTTTTTTTTTAAATAATTTAACTCAATCATAGTTGGGTTACAGCCACCCAACACATTTTTATATCAATAATTTCAATATAAAATATTTTATAATTGGCTTCAACTCACACACTATAACATTTCAGATAAATTTTTACCTCCCACATGCCATTAGGCTAAATCACATTTGTCCATCCTTATACTCTCAACAAGTAAACTAAATCACATTTGTCCATACTTATACTCCCAAAAAGTAAAATAAACAATTTAGTCAATTTTCAACACAAGCCAGTTATTTGACCTTATAATCATGCCATTTTAATCAATTCAAAGTAAACCTAATATTAAAATTACAGTCATCCAAATTATACCAAAAATAGAAATAGTTTAAAAGGCATGATTACATTTATATATTCATATAATTGACAATAAACAAAAAAAGCCCTAATATTGGCAATATAACACATTATAAATCATAAATTAAATACCCAAAAGAGACAGTGGATCTATACCACTAAGCCTCTGGGACTCCTCCACGTGTCACTCGTGGCTCTTCTCCTGAAAATTGTTAACCACATAATGAGACTCAAAAGTCCCAGTAACCAAAGCCAATTTATGATAGTGTATACAAACAGTTAAGTGTGTGCTTACTAAGTGAGAATTAAAAATAATATAATTCCAACAAATATATGAAATATTACAATACACACAAACAACCATCCTTATATCCCTCCATTAACCTCGAGCCGTAGCCCTCACTCGGTGCTAAATTACCCGGCCAAAGGTAGATTAGCCCGAGCCTTACAAGCCACCTATTGAGCTCCAATAGGGGCGTACCACGTAGCACATAAATACAACAATAATAGCAAGTCTCCCAACACCTCCCACAATAATCAAACAAATTCATAATAATAATATTGCACGATTATACAATATTACAAAATTCATAATTTTCTCAATAATCACCCAATTAACATGAAGTAACACTAATCACAAATTAAAAGTATGGTTACCTTGTGGCTTTTTCAATAAATTATTCCTTAAAATTTCTCTCTCACCACAATCTTCACCAGTAATACAATCTACAAAATAACATATTATTTATAAATATTAGTTTCAATTTTTGAAACTAATAAAATAATTCTAATAATAGAATTAAAAATATAACATAATTCCTAATTTCAATCTTAATACAAATCTATAGTTAATACTATTAAGTAAAATTTTTAACTCCTCTTTTAATTATCAATAAACATTAATAATCTAAAAATCAACTTCTAAATTAATTTCTATTATCAAAATTTTCTTTTTATTTCATAAATTCGTACCTAAAATATCCAAAAATTAAAAATTGAGTCTCTAGCTTAGAATCATAATCCTATAACCATAATAATTTATTTCTCATCCCAAATAATCATCTAAACCTCAATAAATCAACATATATTTTCAGATCTAGTTTAGAATTTGATCCATAAGCCACATATTCAAAGATCATCAATAAATTTATACTCTAGAACATTTATTATACTACTGACAACATCAAAAATCATATTTATTCAATATAAATTCATCCCTCTTCTAGATCTTAAATTTTCTATCACTACAAACTCAGAAACCAAAGAAGAAGGATGACTAAGAAAAAATTTTAGAACACTTACTTAGTCTTGAAAAGCTTAAAATCACACCCTAAATATCCTATTAAAAACTCTTACCTTAAAAATTTAGATATTTCGCACCGGTGACTCGCGTTCTCTCTGCCTCAGCACGCACGAAGGAATGAATGAAGAAATGAAGGAACAGGTGAGTTTTTATAAAAATTCAGTGGGTCCCACACATTTTTTTTATTCTTTTCTCTCTCTTCTTTCTCTCTTTCTTTATTATTATTATTTTATTTTACTATTGAGGTGGCGGTCGAAAGCATTCACGTTTTCTTCCTTCTTCTTCCTTTTTTTTTGTGCATACCTTTTCCTTTTTTTTATTATTATAATAATTTAATAATATTTTTTTATTATTATTTTTAATTAATTTTTTTATAATTAATTTTTTAATTTAGAATTATATCCTAAATTAGATTTAATAATTATTTTCTACTAATTTTCTTACCTCTAAATATTATTTTTTTTTTTAAATTTCTATTAACCCAAATTAACTATTAAAATTTAAATTGGGATGTTACAAAAATCATAATAGAAAAGATATATGCAAAATATCATAATGTCGTATAAAAATAATAATATTCCCTCCGTTTAAAAATATAAGATATTTTTTATCAAATCTCATCTTTAAATAAAGTAGTTATCTACTTTCAAACTAACATTATCTTTTTTTATTTACCTCTATTAAATAACCTATAATAAATATAAAGTCATTCATCAATATAGACACTTAAAAAAATGATGATTACACCTCAAAAATTTTATATTTTTAAATATCTAACTCTTTAAAAAATATTTTAGATTTTTGAACGGGGGAGTATAATATAAGAATGCACTGTTTAAAAATGTTTTGAATTTTATATTAGAATTGGGAATGACATTCAATTATGCTATTTAAAAGATTTAGATTCAGTATCTTATGATTTTGGTTGAAAAAAATTCTCCAAATTCATGATTTAATGGATAGCATGAATTTCGTCATATGGGTATAGATTCTCAATGCCTGTAGTTGATAAAGTCATGGGATCCAAAACCTTAATCATCGCTACCTAGCTCATGTTTTTAATTTTATTTGGATGTTTTCTAATTTGCTAATAATTTACCAAATCTGTCTCCCGGTCCAATATAGACATAGACTTGCAAGGATAGCATTGGAAACGATTAGTGACAAGGCTTGGCATTGGATAATTATTTTACCTTAGAAAGTTGACGGGATTTAATTTCAATTTTGTTCAAATTACAAACCCTGTTTCCGAAAAGTGGAAACATGTGGTTCCGTGATAAAGTTAAAAGCCAGAAGACATGCTGCTCGACGCACGAGAAGAACAGTGAGGAAAAATAAAACTGAATTCAGCCTTATAAATTCATAAGTTCCCCCCTCCTCTGCTATCTTTGATCGTATTTTGTAATCTTTCTAAATGCATTATAGCTTATGCAGAAATTGTTCTTGGTTGACAGTTTAAGATGATGGGTCTGTTTTAATTTTAATTGAGTATAATAGATTATGAAAATAATTAATTAAGTGATAGATTTTAATCATACTTTATTATATTATAAGTAATGTATTTGGATATTATTTTTTTAAAATTAATTTTAACAGAATTAAAAATATTTAAATAATTTAATCAAAATTAATTTTAATTATATAAATGACTATATAATTTAATTTTTAAATATTAAACATTAATTTTTGAGGATATAAAATTTATATTTTATTAAGGAAGAAAAGAGAGAAGAAAAGAGAGTTTAATTTTATTTTTATTAAATTATGTACTTTATTTGTAATTTTTCGTGGGCCTTCTTTTATAATTTTTTCTAACATTTTTTGATAATTTTTTGATAAATGTTGATTCATCAACTTCTAAAAAAACGCACATAATACGTCAGAATTAATTTTTGTCATTTTTCAGCCATTTGAGTAATTTTATTTTAAAAATCGATTTCAGGCACGAAAATCGATTTTGAAGTCTAACCAAACGGATATAATACTGTGCAAATGCTATTTGCCAGAATTTCTTATTGCAACGTCTTAAAATAGACAAGAGTAAAAGGGAAAGGCTGTACATAAAGCCAGGAACGAGGTCGATTTGACTAGCTGCTCATTTAATTTTTTTATTTTTTTATTTTTTTAATAAAAGTATAAGCTTAAAAAATGACTCCTTTTTTTTTTTGAAAAAATTGGATCTTGAAACCCGACACCGAATCCTTTTAAAGAACTGGACCTCAGAAAATTATCACTTTTGAAACAACCAACTTTTTGGGTTTGACCTTTTGCGGGGCTGCCCCACCGTTTCCTGGAATGGACGTTTGAAGATGCTTCCTTGTCAATGACAAGTTTAAAATGCATTCGTTGTCATCAAACAATGATTTTATTATTGGAGAGATGCAAAATTCAGTGCCTAATCAGTTTAAACAACGCAAGGTGAGGATAATTAATTTTAATTTGCTCCTGAAACTGCAAAATCAGCTTTCGATCCAATAAGAAAATGAACACCGCACTTAAAAAGCATTTAAATTTTAAATCAATGCAGCATTACAATTTACAATGTCATTCCATGTCTCTTCCATGTTCTACGCCTCTCTCTCTCACTCAATATATGACCTTCGTCCGAATATACTACCATGTCCATGCAAAAGAGGTGTTACTTATAATATATGCTTCCTCCGCTAAAAAATATAAATTTT